TATATTGAATTGGAGCCCCAGTGATATGTGAGATCTAGAACCTGAGCTAAATCCAGACAAGCTTCATGAATGGCTCTAGCCTTGGAACCGACTGGACCAAAGGAAATTAATTTTAGGGACTGAGACAGACCACAATAAAATTTCTCATAAAGCTTTACATCGTTGAACGTTGCAATGAATAGTTATTATTGTCATCTGTGAAGCATCTGTTTCTGAAGTGTACCCAGTTCTAGAAGAAATTCCATACTCGTGTTCCTATCAACCGAACTGACTCATAAACAGGTAACCAAACCCGCAGTCCCTTAACTATTTGTCTCCAAGTCAAGGCCTCGTTTACACACGTGGAATTCGGCCTTAAAACACCCCTGTTCAATGCATACCTATAGACAACACAATGCGGCTTGTATTGATACGACAATTACAGTGTGACTGTGTCATATATGGCGGGTAATTGTTGGCGGCTGACACCTATCAAGTTGAGCTCCAGTGCTCCCTTTCTTGCTAACTGGCAATATGAAACTTACCAAGAGACATTTCGTATTTCGCACGCAGACGTGTGAAGATAAACTGTTTTTAATGTAGTGCTTCTGCAATTTTATTCGATCCATGTAAATTTAATTCGAAACTGAATACGATAGCCTTTCTTTTGAAGCGTTTTCGGGTAGTTGAAGTTTCAAACCTCTACATTGAAAAAACACCAATTTTATCTCCACTATACTGTGACAATGACAAAACATGTGGGCTCTTTGGATATAGGAAATTATTGGTTGACATTGGTTGAGTCTAATATTACCATTAAGTCTGTCCATCATGGAGGATCCGTGTTAGACTTGGTGTTCATGCTGCTGCTGATCACATGATTATTTACATAAAGCCACCATATAGCTGGAATATTGCTTATTGCGGCGTTAAACAAACAAACAGCCCGTATCAAGATCTAACGTGAATACATCGTTCTAGTGCAGTATTTAGTATCGCGGTATTACGGTCATCAGCCCGTATTGCAGAATAATTTTCATATTGGGTATATATTGCGATATATTGCGATGCGAAAGCAATATATTGCAAAAGGTTTTTTAAAACAAAAAACTGCTTATAATGGAGTTAATGCTTGACTTATAAGGCAAAAACACAACAAAACCACTATGCATGATTAAGCTTTAAAAAAAACATTTAATCATGACAAAATAAATAATATTTGTCACAAATGAAACAAGGAAAAGGTCAATTTAGCATCAAGACCGTGGTTACAAGTTTGAATTACTTTCTCCACTCTCAAGAGATTTTAGACAGTAACTTGACCTGGTCAGGACATATTAGAGCTCACTGTTCGTTAATTAGTAAATATTTAAAACATTCAGATCCAAAACATTGCGAAACACTTGAACAGATATTAAGAACAAAACTTCAAACCGAACTTAACTTGACTTCCAGTGTGGAAAACGGAAATATCCGAAGATTTCTGAGTGGTACAAAGTTTTCGGAATGCATTTCAAATACCGGTTTTCGATCAGCGTATCGCAATACGTATCGATTTCACATCTGAACCGATAAATGCAGGTAAACCGGTTATATTGCGCAGCCCTAGTATTTAGAACGGGTCATATACCAGTACTACGTTTTAAGATGGTAATTGTTCTTGCCCTGCCTGGCGCTGCGCAGTTTGGGAATGAACAAAGGCTTGGTCGGCTCAGAGTCAGTATATGATTGTGTCTGAGTGGGTTACCCATGTCTCCTTGCAGCACCGTGAGTGGGTGAGTGAGTGAGTGAGTGAGTGTAGTTTTACGCTTTTCTTTTTCCAGGGGACACCGCGGCATAGTGTGAGTATAGTTTTACGCCGCTTTTACAATATTTCTGCAATATCACGGCAGGAGACACTGCAGTATGGTATGTATAACACAAGAGCACAAGCAGCCACATACGTGCATCAACGTCGTTAAAGTGAAAGAATCTTGAACACGACGTTAACCCCCATTTCAGCTCTCTTCAGACGTTTAGGCTTGTCCAATCATAAGCTGAAACACTAAACTGGTTTGTTGGGATTCATAACATACGATACCCATCAAACCAGTTCATTGCTATTGTATGACTGACATGCCTTTTGTCCAGTGGAATACCCTTATTGGAAATGTTTGTTTAAGGGTGATACCTTACCTTATTCACATTTCAGTCCTACCTATGGATGCATATTTTATTGCTTGCGAAGGTGTAAAAAAATGAAAAATCAACAAAAACATAAAAAAATTAAAAGGAAAGTAATGTGAAAAGCACTTCATTGCTACTTGAAGCTGTCCAACAAGTTCTGGACGGGTATGTGTCTCAGTAGATCATGTAGCTTGGAAACAATAGCGCCGCAGTTCATGTGACCCTTCATTGTGCTAGGATACCCTGTTTGGGTGTTCGAATCGCTGAGAGTATGTAAACTTTAACGTTCTTACTAATGCAAATGTAACCAAGATGATATATTATGTTACTGTGAACGTGATATCAATTATCTGGATCTTCATGGTTTGTACTAGAAAAAACAGGAACAGGGAAAAGTTAGGTCTACCATGTTTTTTCAAAACAGTATTTTCTTAAACATGTTACAGTACTTATTTAAAGAAAAATTCGCAAGTATGATGGAGTTACTTGTTTGTTTATTACAATAGTGTTATTGTTAAGCACAAATATCTTGAAATAAATCATTTTAAATCTTGATACCGTGTCATTCTTTCAAGGTGTTTGTATCGTGATACACATGTATTGAGTAGGGGTTAGCAATTTTGTACATCGATATAACAAAAATATGCTAAAACAATTATGGAGGGGGGATAATTGATTTTGTAGATGGCATGCATGGCGGCCTCGCGGGTTACTTACTTTGTACATAAATTGGGTGTGGGTAAGGGGTGGAGGGTCATTCACATTGTACATGCTTCTCCATAAAAATCATCATCACCCCACCCTTGCCATAAATTATAAACGGTCCCTAAATACACCTTTGACCGTGTGACAGTTTGACGTGAATATACGTGACCCTAAATACACCTTTGACCGTGTGACAGTTTGAGGTGAATATACGTGACCCTAAATACACCTTTGACCGTGTGACAGTTTGACGTGAATATACGTGACCCTAAATACACCTTTGACCGTGTCACAGTTTGACGTAAATATACGTGACCCTAAAAACACCTTTGACCGTGTGACTGTTTGACGTGAATATACGTGACCCTAAATACACCTTTGACCGTGTGACAGTTTGACGTGAATATACGTGACCCTAAATACACCTTTGACCGTGTGACAGTTTGACGTGAATATACGTGACCCTAAATACACCTTTGACCGTGTGACAGTTTGACGTGAATATACGTGACCCTAAATACACCTTTGACCGTGTGACAGTTTGACGTGAATATACGTGACCCTAAAATACACCTTTGACCGTGTGACAGTTTGACGTGAATATACGTGACCCTAAATACACCTTTGACCGTGTGACAGTTTGAGATGAATATACGTGACCCTAAATACACCTTTGACCGTGTGACAGTTTGACGTGAATATACGTGACCCTAAATACACCTTTGACCGTGTGACAGTTTGACGTGAATATACGTGACCCTAAATACACCTTTGACCGTGTGACAGTTTGACGTGAATATACGTGACCCTAAATACACCTTTGACCGTGTGACAGTTTGACGTGAATATACGTGACCCTAAATACACCTTTGACCGTGTGACAGTTTGACGTGAATATACGTGACCCTAAATACACCTTTGACCGTGTGACAGTTTGACGTGAATATACGTGACCCTAAATACACCTTTGACCGTGTGACAGTTTGACGTGAATATACGTGACCCTAAATACACCTTTGACCGTGTGACAGTTTGACGTGAATATACGTGACCCTAAATACACCTTTGACCGTGTGACAGTTTGACGTGAATATACGTGACCCTAAATACACCTTTGACCGTGTGACAGTTTGACGTGAATATACGTGACCCTAAATACACCTTTGACCGTGTGACAGTTTGACGAAATATACGTGACCCTAAATACACCTTTGACCGTGTGACAGTTTGACGTGAATATACGTGACCCTAAATACACCTTTGACCGTGTGACAGTTTGACGTGAATATACGTGACCCTAAATACACCTTTGACCGTGTGACAGTTTGACGTGAATATACGTGTCCCTAAATACACCTTTGACCGTGTGACAGTTTGACGTGAATATACGTGACCCTAAATACACCTTTGACCGTGTGACAGTTTGACGTGAATATACGTGACCCTAAATACACCTTTGACCGTGTGACAGTTTGACGCGAATATACGTGACCCTAAATACACCTTTGACCGTGTGACAGTTTGACGTGAATATACGTGTCCCTAAATACACCTTTGACCGTGTGACAGTTTGACGTGAATATACGTGTCCCTAAATACACCTTTGACCGTGTGACAGTTTGACGTGAACATACGTGACTCTAAATACACCTTTGACCGTGTGGCAGTTTGACGTGAATATACGTGACCCTAAATACACCTTTGACCGTGTGACAGTTTGACGTGAATATACGTGACCCTAAATACACCTTTGACCGTGTGACAGTTTGACGTGAATATACGTGACCCTAAGTACACCTTTGACCGTGTGACAGTTTGACGTGAATATACGTGTCCCTAAATACACCTTCGACCGTGTCACAGTTTGACGTGAATATACATGACCCTAAAAACACCTTTGACCGTGTGACAGTTTGACGTGAATATACGTGGACCCTAAATACACCTTTGGCCGTGTGACAGTTTGACGTGAATATACGTGACTCTAAATACACCTTTGACCGTGTGACAGTTTGACGTGAATATACGTGTCCCTAAATACACCTTTGACCGTGTGACAGTTTGACGTGAATATACGTGACCCTAAATACACCTTTGACCGTGTGACAGTTTGACGTGAATATACGTGTGTTTCTCTGTGTATGTTGTAGGTCCGGGTGCATCCAAGGTCCCGGTTCAAGCGCTACGTCCGACTGGCTCTCATCTGTATCCGGCTGTGTAACACGAGTTACCAGAGGTGAGGGGTCAGCTTGACCCGGAAGGAGTGAGTGAGTGAGTGAGTTTAGTTTTACGCCGCACTCAGCAATATCCCAGCTGTATGGCGGCGGTGGGTAAATAATCGAGTCTGGACCAGACAATCCAGTGATCAACAGCATGAGCATCGTTCTGCGCAATTGGGAACCGATGACATGTGTCAACCAAGTCAGCGAAACTGACCACCCGATCCTGTTAGTCTCCTCTTACGACAAGCATAGTCGCCTTTTTATGGCAAGCACATGGGTTGCTGAAGACCTATTCTACCCCGGATCTTCACGGGTCTGACGTGGAAAGCATTTAGTTGTTTGCTGTTTTATGCCGCACGTGCAACATCCCATCCGTATGACGACGGTATGTAAATAATAGAATCTGTGCCATACAATCTAGAGATCGATAGTATGAGCAAAGAGCCATGTCACCGAGCTGACCACTCTGTCCCGCCATCTTTAACGATCAGCGTTGGTTGCTCTGTTTTGCTCTGTATTTGTAAAACAAGGCAGGCCTTGTAATGTACATGCATTTTCCCATTACGAGTTAAAAACAGCGAAACTACAGTTCGAACACCCTAACAGGTGATCTAAGGGAGATAACCGTGCACGTAGCTTTCTCCACTTAAACTGAACTTAGACTGTAGGAATGTTTGTTTGTAGATTGAAGCTCCACTCAGGAATATTCCAGCTATATGACGATGGTCTGTAAATATTCGAGTCTGTCTCAGACAATCCAATGATTGACATCATGAACATCTATTAACGTAATTGGTATATGACATGCATCAACCAAGCCAGCGAGCCTGACCACCCAATCCCGTTAGTAACCTCTTACGACAAGAAAGGGTCTTGACGGGTCCATGATTAAAGAAAGTCCCAATCTTGGAAAAGTACATGTAAATGTACACTAAATGCTAGATAAAGTTCATGTAAAGTTTCATGTACTTGTTAATGTGAATGTAGCAATATACTAATATGAACATGTTGACGATGTGATGCTGTATGTAAGTAAAACATGTTGACAATGTGATGCTGTATATAAGTGCAACATGTTGCAATGTGATGATGTATGTAAGTGCAACATGTTGACAATGTGATGATGTATGTAAGTACAACATGTTGACAATGTGATGCTGTATGTGAGGGCAACATGTTGACAATATGATGCTGTAGGTAAGTGCAACATGTTGACAATGTGATGCTGTATGTAAGTGCAACATGTTGACAATGTGATGCTGTATGTAAGTGCAACATGTTGACAATGTGATGCTGTATGTAAGTGCAACATGTTGACAATGTGATGCTGTATGTAAGTGCAACATGTTGACAATGTGATGCTGTATGTAAGTGCAACATGTTGACAATGTGATGCTGTATGTAAGTGCAACATGTTGACAATGTGATGCTGTTTGTAAGTGCAACATGTTGACAAAGTGATGATGTCTGTAAGTTCATGTATGTTGCAATATAGTAGTACATGCCAGTACTATATGTTGATAATGTAGTGATACATGCACGTACTATATGTTGACAATGTAGTGGTACATGCACGTACTATATGTTGACAATGTAGTGATACATGCATGTACTATATGTTGACAATGTAGTGATACATGCACGTACTATATGTTGACAATGTAGTGATACATGCCAGTACTATATGTTGACAATGTAGTGGCACATGTACGTACTATATGTTGACAATGTAGCGGTGCATGCACGTACTATATGTTGACAATGTAGTGGTACATGCACATACTATGTGTTGACAATGTAGTGATACATGCACACACTATGTGTTAACAATGTAGTGATACATGCACGTACTATATGTTGACAATGTAGTGGTGCATGGACGTACTATATGTTGACAATTTAGTGATACATGCACGTACTATATGTTGACAATTTAGTTATACATGCACGTACTATATGTTTACAATGTAGTGGTACATGTACGTACTATGTGTTGACAATGTAGTACATGTACGTACTATGTGTTGACAATGTAGTAGTACATGCATGTACTATATGTTGACAATGTAGTGATACATGCCAGTACTATATGTTGACAATGTAGAAGTTCATCGATGTACTATATGTTGACAATGTAGTGATACATGCCAGTACTATATGTTGACAATGTAGTGGTACATACACGTACAATATGTTGACAATTTAGTGATGCATGCAGGTACTATATGTTTACAATGTAGTGATACATGCACGTACTATGTGTTGACAATGTAGTGATACATGCACGTACTATATGTTGACAATGTAGTGATACATGCACGTACTATATGTTGACATTGTAGTGGTACATATAAGTACTATATATTGCCAATGTGGTGGTTCGTCTCAGTGTAAGTCATCTCTGTTGACAGTGTGAAGGACTCAGGTGATGAGTTCCTGTCAGTCATCCAGGTGTCCCAAGACTTGACCACTATCGACAGAGACGGTCTGTTCTTTGATCCCAACGACTTCAAGGCAGATACACAGGTAGGATTTGTCATTCATTTCAGAATATGATTGAAACTCAATTCTCGACCTGTACGTGCAACACGTGTAAGTTGTTGAAGAAACTGTATAATTATACTACTCAAAATAATTTGAAGAATACAAGATTCCTTCATGTTACCCAGAGAATCGAGTGTTGTTAGAAGTTTGTTTGTGTGGTTGTTTAACGCCTGATTCAGCAATATGTCGGCTACATGATGGCGGTCTGTTAGTAATCGAGTCTGGACCAGACTATCCAGTGATTGACATCATGCACATCGGTCTCACAGTTGGTATCCAATGATTAAGTCAGCGAACCTCCACCGGATCAAGTCGCTTCTATGACAAGCATTGGTTGCTGAAGGATCTTCTCTTTTGAGTAGTATATTATATTCATCTTCCTAGATTCTTTTATGCGACATTCTTAGAGTTTAATATGAACATCTGTTCTTTTCAAGAGGTTTAAACCACTATATTCTAGAGGTTTAAAGCACGCCTCTGGCAAAAGGTCACTTTAGTCCACAGTCTTATTTTCATACAGAGTGTTATCTCTTTGCGTATTTTCAGGACCGTTTACCCCAGGAGGCAAAGAGAATTCTTCAGATGAATCCGGAAGAACGATCCCCCAGAGACATACAATACGTGAGATTTGCATCGAATCCTTTATATGAATAGGAGAATGTACTTGGTAGGTTAGTGGATAGCAGGTTGGGTTAAAACTCGGTCTGTTTGCACCATCATGTTCAATGATTTTGACAGTTTCTTTAATCCGGTTTGGCGATGCAGTGATATGGTAGTAAGGATTAGATAGTTCACCAAAGACCCAGAGTTCACTTCCCTACATTGGTACGTGTGAATCTATTAGTTGTTCCCTGCCTTTCATATTTCTGGAATATTGCTAATTGTGGTGTAGAACTTTACTCATTCACATAACTAATCTATTAGATGTTCCCTGCCTTTTATATTTCTGGAATATTGATAATTGTGGTGTAGAGCTTTACTCATTCACATAACTAATCTATTAGATGTTCCCTGCCTTTTATATTTCTGGAATATTGCTATCTGTGGTGTAGAACTTTACTCATTCACATAACTAATCTATTAGTTGTTCCCTGCCTTTTATATTTCTGGAATATTGTTAACTGTGGTGTAGAACTTTACTCATTCACATAACTAATCTATTAGTTGTTCCCTGCCTTTTATATTTCTGGAATATTGTTAACTGTGGTGTAGAACTTTACTCATTCACATAACATTTTAGTGTCTGCAAACAAATTCTTAAAGGACTCATTTTAGTTCATACTGTCACCATGTCATCGTACCCCAATTGCGTAGATCGATGTTCATGCTGTTGATCAGTAGATTGTCTGGTTCAAACTCGATTATTTACAGACCTCCGCCATATCGCTGGAATATTGCTGAGTGCGGCGTAAAATTAAACTCACTCACTCACTCATACTGTCAAATTATCGAGGTCGTTATTTTCTCCAGAAATGTGGAACACCAGATAGATTCATGTCCGTTGGTGGATTATGCGTGATCTGGGTCTTGTCCCGATTTATACCTCTACATGACCCAGTGAGTCATTCCAGTAACAGGGTGCCATGGGTTAACGCTGTTTTGAACAATATTCTAGTGATATCACACAGCGCCAGGAGTGACAGTATACTTTTACACCTTTAGCAATATTCCAGCAATATCGCGGTCAGGGACAGCAGAAATGGGCTTCACACATTGTACCCATGTGGGGAATCGAACCTTGGTCTTCAGCGTGACCACTAGGCTACCCTACCATCCAGATGTGCGAGCAAAGAACGAAATGATGCGGGTCTCAGGCGTGCACAACTGTGGTGAAACACTTGGCTGCTGACGGGGCGGTGGGGTAGCCTAGTGGTTAAAGCGTTCGCTCTTTACGTTGGTGACCCGGGTTCGATTCCCCACATGGGTACAACCGCTGTCGGCTTTGGATGAACAAAGTTCGATTGTTTACTCGTGATATTTGGAAACAGTTTTCTTTCATTGTCTTTTCAGTTGGTGATCGTCTTGAGCAATATCCCTGCATTTGCAGAGTACCCCAGACGAATGCAGCACAAACTGTGCACTGTGGGCTGGTATGAAGCGTACGTATAATATTCATTCACAGCGCCTACTGGCAAGAATCACCACGTCAACACGTATACATATTATCATGCATAGCATACAGCGCAGCCATGTACTGCTTAAAGATATGGGATGATGTCTGATACCTGATTCGTACAGTTAACTATCACAATCACTGGGAGTATGAATATTTAAATTGTAATCTGTGGATACGTATTCCCAGTTATAGTTGTGATATGTGGATACGTATTTCATAGTTATAGTGGTGATGTGTGGATACGTATTCCCAGTTATAGTGGTGATGTGTGGATACGTATTCCCAGTTATAGTAGTGATGTGTGGATACGTATTTCCAGTTATAGTGGTGATGTGTTGATACGTATTCCCAGTTATAGTAGTGATGTGTGGATACGTATTTCATAGTTATAGTGGTGATGTGTGGATACGTATTCCCAGTTATAGTGGTGATGTGTGGATACGTATTCCCAGTTATAGTAGTGATGTGTGGATACGTATTCCCAGTTATAGTGGTGATGTGTTGATACGTATTCCCAGTTATAGTAGTGATGTGTGGATACGTATTCATAGTTATAGTGGTGATGTGTGGATACGTACTCCCAGTTATAGTGGCGATGTGTAGATACATAATCCCAGTTAGAATGGTGATGTGTTCATACGTATTCCCTGTTATAGTGGTGATGTGCGGATACGTATTCCCAGTTATAGTAGTGATGTGTTCATACGTATTCATAGTTATAGTGGTGATGTGTGGATACGTATTCCCAGTTATAGTGGCGATGTGCGGATACGTATTCCCTGTTATAGTGGTGATGTGCGGATACGTAATCCCAGTTATAGTGGTGATGTGTTGAAACTTATTCCCTGTACTATTCAGAACATGTCTATACGTATTCCCTGTACTATTGATAAGATGTCTATACGTATTCCCGTTAACAGTGGTAACATGTTGATACGTATTCCCGGTAACAGCGGTAACATGTTGATACGTATTCCCGGTAACAGTGGTAACATGTTGATACGTATTCCCGGTAACAGTGGTAGCATGTTGATACGTATTCCCGGTAACAGTGGTAACATGTTGATACGTATTCCCGGTAACAGTGGTAACATGTTGATACGTATTCACGGTAACAGTTGTAACGTGTTGATACGTATTCCCGGTAACAGTGGTAACATGTTGATACGTATTCACGGTAACAGTGGTAGCATGTTCATACATATTCCCAGTACTATTGATAATATGTCTATACGTATTCCCTGACACGTATACGTGAGTAAGATTAGTTTTACGCCCTTTTTTGCAATATTCCAGCAATATCACGACGGGGGACACCACAATGGAGTTCACACATTGTACCCATGTGGGGAATCGAACCCGGGTCTTCGGCGTGACGAGCGAACGCTTTAGCCACTATTCTATCCTACTGCAACCAGTAAAGGAAGAAAGTACACACTTTTGCTGTCTTGTAGGTACCTAATGAAAGGAGGTGGCGGTATGTCTGGTAGTGAGGCATACAGTGCCGTGAGGCTACTAATCCATGTATTGTGGTCTTAATGATGTTATGTTTCAGATACGAACCCAAGCGAGCCATTGTCCGAGAAGGTCACCCCCCTCACTCGTTCTACTTCCTTCTATCAGGGACAGGTAAGATAAGAACAAACAAACACAACGATCAATCACCCTGTAAAAATAGTTTTAGCACATGTAGTTAGTTTCAAGGCGGTTAAATACAAAACCTTGCGTCAGAAACCATTCCATCATCGGATAACTGAAACCATTCCATCATCGGATAAGAACTTGTCAGTTAGTGAGAAGTCGTCCATTAAGGAACAAGAACATATGGATTTCAACTTTATTGTGTTATACGTCAGGCTAATGGGCAAGAAGTAGACTTGAGACGTCATGTTCGACAGTAATGAAGTAGAAATATATGTCTTCTTGTTCATGAGCTCAACCTTCATCGGGAAGATCAAGGCCCTCTCAACAGATCATCAGCAATTAACGTGTATTATGTATACAGTAGCCCAGTCAGCAGCCCAGTTTAAGCGGACTAAGGGATTAGATGATGAATCTGTTTTGCACAAAAACTGTGTATAGTTAAGAAATAATGTATATCATAGAAAATGTTATTGCACGTTATATGTGTTTGGATTAATGAGAAGCTGATTCCATTCCCCGCCGTGGGTGTTGTCGAATTATATCATCACTAAATGTATACAAAAAGATAATAAAAGGTGTCGCTGAAGCTGATTTTAGAGATTTTCACGAAGCAGCTTGTAACAATGTTGGCATGAGGCCCGGTGACGTGATTGATAGAGTGTCTCCCTATCCCCACGGCGCAGGATGCAGCTAATAACAGCAGCTGAGTATTTACAAACCGCATCAATATAGGTGGACAGTTGCTGACTGCGGTATTAAACAAACACGTCCATATTTCCCTATAATGCCTCTTGTAGATTCGTTTGGACATTCTTAGAATAAGCAAACTATTGTCATTCGGTAGGATATTCTGTCGAATAATATTCTATTATTTTACCAGATTATGGTGAAATAACTGTAACAAGTAACCAGCACGATGTTAAACGTCACAGATGGAATTCTAAATCTAGTTTATTAAACCGAGTAGTGTATTAAGAGTGATAAATGGCTAACTTGTGCCAAATTATTTATAGTCTTCTGTCTTGAAATATTTAGAAGGCTCTATGGCATGAGGCTGCCATTAAAAAAGCAAATTCCCGTTCCGTTCAATCAATTGTTTATTTCAAACTCTCGACCCAGAGAAAATATCTACGAGGAAGTAGAGTGATTAAAGAGAAGAAGACTATGAGATGACTAATGTGCTTGTATGGCTTCAGGTTTCAACGTCTCCATGGCGACTCATTTTAAAATGTATTAATTCAAATTGTACTCTATTATATTTTTCTCCACAGTTCTTGTCACAGCCTTCGAGAATGGCGTTGCGCGGACCCTGGTCAGTCTGCGCACAGGCATGTCTTTCGGGGTGAGTAGGAGGCCCAGAGGCAATATAACACCACACCAAGTCTTATTTTCCCCGCAGTTTATCAAGGGGAATAACTCTAATTCTCAGTGTTTGCAAGCAGAGACAAAGATCCACATGACAAGGGCGGGCAATGGTAGTTTGTCTCCTGTCGTAGGTTTCTGACCACCTGGATCTTCATAACCAATAATTATGTTTGGTATTGCAGCAATGTATCGGCGGGATGTTGATAGGATATTGTCCATCTTGAGGGACGGATATTTTACTGTCAATACTTAAAGAAATACACCTTTTCTCTTAAAGAGGAAACAAAACATTGTTTAGGATAAACATCACATTCTCTGCAGAAAATACAGTGGACACTTACATTCTGATCGAAGGCTCAGTCTTAACTTGAAGCAACATAGGGACAATGTGCCCATTTCTGGTGTTGACCGCCTCCGTGGACTGGTGCAGAGAGCGTCTCTCTGGTCGGTGGTTCGAATCCCTGACTGTGATAGACCCGTGAAGGTCCGGGTAAGAATATTGATCTTCAGTAACCCATGCTTGTCGTAAGAGGCGTGGTCAGGCTCGCTGTCTTGGTTGACACATGTCATCGGTTCCCAATTGCGCAGATCGATGCTCATGCTGTTGATCGCTGGATTGTCTGGTCCAGACTCGATTATTTACAGACCGCCGCCATATAGCTGGAATATTGCTGAGTGTGGCGTAAAAGTAAACTCACTCGCTCACTGACTGTGATACCTAAAACCTTTAACATTGCGTTAAGTACATGTAGATGAAACGAAGTGGAGGCTGCCATTCGGTATGTTGTGTCCGAGTTGTTATCCATCTTAAACTGCGACATTGTATCTCAGGCAAGGGTAGTGCATGCAGGCACACGCTCCTTCATTAACGTCGCTATACACGTCCCATGTCACATCATCCAACCGTGATGTTGTCAAATATTTATAAGCGGAGTAAAACCCAACCCAGCTCACTCACTACAGGACATGAAAGCCGCTATGTGCCCCCACAATGAAAACAAAACTGGGGTCTTTCCCTCAATGCTAAACCCTCTCACGGCTCTCGGCTAATTAACAAAGATACTGGGTAGCTATTTATTTCCCCGAATTCCCAGGGAAGGGTGGTTAAAAAGCAAGGACCCTGTCCCCTGATAATTTCCTATTGATTTTTATCTGAGTAAATGTATTTGACAGATTTCTAAATTACATCCTGCAGAAAAGCTGTCCTTGTCCGCCAGCCTACTTATAGTACTGACTTACAACGAATGTGTTTCTGCAAAATATCCACATCAAACAATCGTATGAGAGGACATTTCACTTTTATCAAACTATTGATCTGATTTATTACAAATGAGTTCAGTATAAAGTCCCGCCTGATATACATTTATACATTTAGGCTGCGTAATATTTGCATGCTGTGCGGAGATAATGATCTTGGGCTGGGCACAGCTGGGGAATGTGCTAAAAATAGCTTCATGAACAGATTATGAACCTTTTAGTTTGCAGCTTACACAATTGTCAGTCCACATCAGTGTGCGAAATTGTTTTCGAATTTTGCTACCAAGTCGGGTTAGCTATGCCTGAAAGTTACTAGCCCACAAAATAATTCACCAGCCCGAAATTTGAATGTAGAAACTAAGTAAAAAATTACCAAAATAGATGAGAATATGATATTGTCGACATGACACGGGCTTCATTATTAAAGCTGCAAATATGATGATCATTTTATTAGGCCATAATCTTGGATATTTTTACAAAATGACCCCATTAAAATTCACTGGCCAGTCGGACCAGTGACTGTGTAGATTTACTGGCCCGACTGGATATTTACTAGCCACGGGCTAGCGGACCAGTGGTTATTTCGCTCACTGCTCGAAATGTTCTTTCGAGATATCGTTTCAGGGAAAATATGTGAATACACACAGATCAATGACGTCATTATTATCTGCGCACGTCACGTTCTGATGATATAGAAACATACTTTCAAATCAGTGTTGAAAATACTACGTATTGAGTATGTAGATGAATCGTTTCTTTACCGGAGAATGTAATATCATGGGTCATAGATGAAATACCAGTTCTGGTGTAGATATAATCGTGCGCCTTTGAAAAACCACTGGCATTTTCATGGCAAGATTCAAACATGTCCTGAGGTCGTTCGGTGGTAAATACCATCAAGTCATTTGTCTGCCTGACAGACATGAATGTTCGAACATTTAGATTTGAAAAGTGTACTCGGAAATGTTGTAAACTAATTAGTATATGTTTCGCAAAGGTCATTGTGGACAGTGAGTGAATGTAACATTAGCTAGTACTCAAACGCATCGTTAAATGCTCATAAACAGGTGCGCGGGTGGTTGGAATGGCCAGTGAATGTGCATATATCCTCGATTAGTAACAAACTGGTATCGCTCAGATATCGGATATCAGTAACAAACTTGTATCGCTCAGATATCGGATATCAGTAACAAACTGGTATCGCTCAGATATCGGATATCAGTAACAAACTTGTATCGCTCAGATATCGGATATCAGTAACAAACAGGTGTAACTCAGATATCGGATATCAGTAACAAACAGGTGTAACTCAGATATCGGATATCAGTAACAAACAGGTGTAACTCAGATATCGGATATCAGTAACAAACAGGTGTCACTCGGATATCGAAGATCAGTAACAAACAGGTGTAACTCAGATATCGGATATCAGTAACAAACAGGTGTAACTCAGATATCGGATATCAGTAACAAACAGGTGTAACTCAGATATCGGATATCAGTAACAAACAGGTGTCACTCGGATATCGAAGATCAGTAACAAACAGGTGTCACTCGGATATCAGATATCAGTAACAAACAGGTCTCACTCATATATCGAAGATCAGTAACAAACAGGTGTCACTCGGATATCGAAGATCAGTAACAAACAGGTGTAACTCAGATATCGGATATCAGTAACAAACATGTGTCACTCGGATATCGAAGATCAGTAACAAACAGGTGTCACTCGGATATCAGATATCAGTAACAAACAGGTCTCACTCATATATCGAAGATCAGTAACAAACAGGTGTCACTCGGATATCGGAGATCAGTAGCAAACAGGTGTCATCCAGATATCGGATATCAGTAACAAACAGGTGTCACTCGGATATCGAAGATCAGTAACAAACAGGTATCGCTCAGATATCAGAGTTCAGTAACAAACATGTGTCACTCAGATATTGGATATCAGTAACAAACAGGTGTCACTCAGATATCGGATATCAGTAACAAACGTGTCACTCAGATATTGGAGATCAGTTACAAACATGTGTCACTCGGATATCGGAGATCAGTAACAAACAGGTGTCACTCAGATATCGGAGATCAGTAACAAACAGGTGTGACTCAGATATTGGATATCAGTAACAAACAGGTGTCACTCAGATATCGGATATCAGTAACAAACAGGTGTCACTCGGATATCGGATATCAGTAACCAACTGGTATCGCTCAGATATCAGAGTTCAGTAAGAAACAGGTGTCACTCGGATATCGGAGATCAGTAACACAGGTGTCACTCAGATATCGAAGATCAGTAACAAACATGTGTCACTCAGATATCGGAGATCAGTAACAAACAGGTGTCACTCAGATATTGGATATCAGTAACAAACAAGTGTCATTCAGATATCTGATATCAGTAACAAACAGGTGTCACTCGGGTATCGGAGATCAGTAACAAACATGTGTCACTCAGATATCAGATATCAGTAACAAACTGGTATCGCTCAGATATCAGAGTTCAGTAGCAAACAGGTGTCACTCGGATATCGAAGATCAGTAACACACAGGTGTCGCTCAGATATCGAAGATCAGTAACAAACATGTGTCACTCAGATATCGGAGATCAGTAACAAACAGGTGTCACTCAGATATCGGATATCAGTAACAAACAGGTATCGCTCAGATATCAGAGTTCAGTAAGAAACAGGTGTCACTCGGATATCGGAGATATCCCGTATCGTCGATGTCACCCGTAACAAATACATGCAGAGGCAAGCCACTTGTACTTATAAATAATGGTCAGAGTGAAAATAGGCTAATGCATCGGAAATAATTGTGCCCATGATGTCCTCCATGGAGGTTTTGAAATCTTTACAAACACTTTGCATGTTGTGGCTCTGATGAAACAGCGTCTGAGCAAGAATCATATATGACTTCGAAAGCATCGTAGAAAAAGCATACTTAATTGGGCCTAACACACTGCGAACTTTGTACACTTAACTCGACATAAAGGGAAGGTTGACTGCAGGGAATCCCTCTTGTTGCACAGTCTTGTGGAGAGTATTTTGTCATTCATAGCCTTAATGCATATGTCTAAATAGCAAACGGATGAGGCGGTCCCTCATGTCTCATGTATTTCCAGACCAGGTGGGGGAATCAGTGGAATTAGCTGTTTGGCCATTATGGAATCATTTCTTCAAAGACCGACCATTCTCGTTCGCTTGAATTATTTCCTCCATAGTTTTCCAGACACGTGTAATTTGTTTCCCCGTTCAGGAATGACAGAAAGGTTAAATAATACAAGAAACGACCTTCCTTTCATCAGACAGCTTATTGATTTTGACCAATTGTTTGGGGAAATGATTTGTTTTGTTTTATATCTGGACTACATAAAATAACCCTGGAAGGCAAAAATCTCAGCCTTTCTGTAATTGTAACGTAGGAGCCCGTGAAGATCCCTTTTAGAATTGATCTTCAGCAACCCATGCTTTTAACGGATGAGTAACGTGGGTCGGGTCATGCACGCTGACATGGTTCATGCATGTCATGCTCATTGAGGCTCATGATGCCAATCACTGGATTGTCCGGTCCAGATTCGATTATTTGCAGACCGCTGTCAAAGAGTCGGTGCGAAGTGCGAACAAACAAACAAGCAAACAAACAAACACACAAACGGAACAACAACAGGAGTAATTGGTGGACACCTGTCTGTGTACGGTTCCATTCAGT